GTCTTCCTGTCCCATCTTTCATGCAGATGAGGCTAGGGGAGTTGTCTTTGCTCTCCATTCTGTATGCTAATGGAGATGTCTTAATCTTGTCACCCTTGTCAGGAGGGGTCTAGGTGTGTCTCCCAACGCCCTTCACTGCTCTCTGCAAGTTTTTTCCTCTGATGGGTTTTGGTTTAAGCAGAGGCTGGGGGGGACGGGGGGTGTCTTTCATGAGTCAGACTGGATACTGCACCCTGGTTCCCCAAGAACACAGAGGTGTCTGGTATCAGCATTATCTCCTGCAAATGTAAACAAACTTGTTTGTCTGAGCAATTGGCTGAACAAAAAGTAGGACTGAGTGGACTTGTAGACTCTAAAGTTTTACATTGTTTCATTTTTGAATGCAAGGTTTTTTACATAATTCTACATTTGTAAATTCAACTTTCATGATAGAGATTGCACAACAGTACTTGTATTAGGTGATTTGAAAAATACTATTTCTTTTGTTTTTTTACAGTGCAAATACTTGTAACCAAAAATAAATATAAAGCGAGTACTGTACTCTTTGTATTCTGTTTTATAATTGAAATCAATATATTTGAAAATGTAGAAAACATCCAAAAATATTTAAATAAATAGTATTCTATTGTTTAATAGTGTGATTAATCATGATTAATTTTTGTAATCGCTTGACAGCCCTAATAAAAACCCAATTGGCCTTTATTAATCTTGACTTTCTTTTAAACCTGCCATTTCTTGTCCTGAATTTCCTTTGTCCAAATAATGTTTGTTTGAATGTGTAATTGGAGCATACAGCTATTTTATATTTCATATTCTTTCTCGAGAGAAAATCAAATTTGAAATTGGTTGTGCAGAAATATCTGTTTGGTTTCTCTTTCCAGCTTTAATCCTTATGTACCCCAGCTTCATCAAACTTGTACTCCAATGCAAAACCTTAGTGACCTCAGAAATGGTAAGGCAGAATCATTTCCCAAATGCATGGAATGTGACAGTCAGATGTACTGATCTGTTGGCATAATTGATATAAAAGAATATGATCTTACTGTTAAGGTTTTGTGTTAAAGTGCAAATTTGAAGTTGAGGTAATTTATTGCTTTTTGGTATTTGTTGGAAACAAAAGCCTTATGGAATATAGGAGTATATTATCATATCAATAGTTGAATGGAGAGAAATGCACAAGTCTTTCTACTTAACTTTTTATTTCCATTCTTCTAAAGTTTTGGATGGATGGAATTTGTCCTGCTGTAACCTTAACTGCCCCTATACATACATAGTATTTCTTTGCTAATATTTACTTAGCAATGGGGAAAAGGGAGAGTTAAAGATTTTATCTTGGGATCTAATATGTCTGTGCAAATAGGTAACACACTTCTAATGTGCTCATAAGAAGACTTCATGCAAACAGAGTATATTATATTGTAAGCTCAAGATGGGGACTTGTCTGTCTGGGTGTAAAGCATCATGCTATACAAATAGTTTTTCTAACATTTAAAATTGAAAAGGCAGTTTCCTCATGGAAGTATTAAGTCTGAAATCTCAACATGGTTTCACTGCTCACGAGCTGAGTAGAGCATACAGCTAATGCCTTATCTGGTTTAGCTGAAATTGCTTAAAACATTCCAGAAGAGTAAATTTGCAAATTTTAAATATGCAATTGCCTGAATATTCTACTTCAATATAAGGCACTAGGGATGGAGGGAAAATTGAAGGTGTAGAGGAGGCCTGAAGGTCTCAAGAAGCAGAAGACATGATAGCTCTTAAGAAAGTGAAGGTAGAGGTTACTGAGGAATTTGAAATAGACTTTGTCGTTTAAAGAGATAAATAACTTACTATGCAGCAACTTATTAGTGCTTTCATTTGTGAGTGAATTTGCTTCTAAGAAACAGATGCTTCAAATTCTTGTGGAGCATTGGGAAGGGGAAAATGCCATGGGATTTGGCAGAATTTCCATTTACAACAACAGCCAGAATTTTACCTAAGGAAATATTGAAACATCTTAAATGATTTCTTAGACATATCTACAGCTTGCTGAAGATGACAAGGTTCGGTATGAAAATGAAATGAAGTCATGGGAGGAGCAAATGGTTGATGTTGGACGTGATGATCTGATACGTTACAAAAACAGGCTCAAAAAATCAGGAGTTGCAACAGAGAAGAAAACCATAAAAAGGGTTGTTTCAAAAAAGAGGGTTAAAATTATAAAGAAGGTTCAAAGAACTAAAGGTTCTTCATCGCCAGAAGTTATGGCAAAATTAAAGACAAAAAGTTCTGAAGAATAAAACTGGTAAATGTTTTATATTTAATTACTTGATTGCCATGACTTTATTCTGCTTGTAAGTGTTAATGCACTTAGCACTAGCACTGAATTTTTGAAAGAAAAGAAAAGATGGTTTATATAAGATATTTAAGAAAAAATTGGGTAAGAGGGATTTGAATATCTTTCTCAGAATTATCTAGAGAAATGATCTCTGCAGGTGTAACATAGTGTGTATAAACCTAATCAACATTAATCAAGCTGTGAATACTTTTGATACTGACTGATTATGATGGGAAGAGCATTCTTGAGCCCACAATAATGCAGACAAGTGTTTAGTTTTTGTAATTTATACGATATTTTAATGTAAGCAACCATAATCAACGATATTATCTTCTAGATGTTGTAACTAATTGGGAGGTGAAACTTGGATTTACAACAGAGGTATGTTCTGTTTCCTCCCTAGTGTTAATAGCGCATGTATTAGCTGGAAATAAATGTCTAGCTGTGTATTTTTGCTCATTTCAGTTCCTCTCTCAACAAATGTAAACTTCAGAATTATGTACACATTTAGTTTTGTTACTTGCATCCATATTCATCTGTGTACCACTTTGTATGTATCACTCATCTATGCATACATTTAAGTTGAATAGAATAAAAAAAATCAATGAGTTTTGTACAAAATACTTTCCCTTGAGTTTTATGCCATTACTTCAAAAATCTGCAAAACACCATTTTATCATTGTCAGTTTTGGGGTAGTTTTCAAGAGAAGCAATATACACTTCTTTTAAGTTATCTACTGTTACAAAACAATGGTTTCTGATTTAGGAATAAAACTGGGCTTTGTCAAGATCTGATTGGTGTCTCTTGGAGCCTTCTCCTCCCCTTGCTGAAGTCCGTGGCAAAACTCTAGGCTTCTAGAGAAGTTACCTTTTAGAAATAATCTCCCATTTCCCAAAAGTTATTCCAAACTTGTATGTTAAATAACTTACAGTAATTATAACTAACTGAAAGCAATTCCAAATAACTTCATATTTGTGGAATTTTCTCCTTGAATGAGGAAAAAAAGCAAGGAGTCATAGGAAGTTCTGAAGCCTGTAACATATTGACAGTTACAGTAACAGATTGACAGCTGAAGCCCTAGGGCTTCAGCTCTGGGTGGCAGGGCTCAGGTTATAGGCCCTCTGCCTGGGGCTGAAACTTTTGGGCTTTAGTATTTGTGCCCCTCCACCACCACCCTGGGCCATGGGGCTCAGGCGGCTTCAGGCTTTGGTCCCTTCTCCTGGGGTCATGTAGTAATTTTTGTTGTCAGAAGGGGGTCGTGGTGCAATGAAGTTTGAGAATTCCTGCCTCTGACTAATCTTCCATAACAGTAGCATGAATAAGCTGATAAAACATTATATACAGTGAAAACTATTTGATCATTTCTAATGAAATCCCTGAATATATAAATGGCAATATTGAATAAGAGTATGGAAGGTTGTATTACCTTTGTATTTGGCACTGGGTACTAGAATACTATATCCAGTACTGGTATCTACAATTCAAAAAGGATGTTGAAAAATCAGAGACAGTTCAGAGAAGAGACATGAGAATGATTAAAGGATTGTTATAAGAATGCCTTATAGTGACAGCTTCAAGCTCAATCTATTTAATATCTATTTTACCAAAATGAACATGAAGAGGTGACTTAATTAGTCTGTAAGTATCTACGTGGGGAGCAGAAACTTGATGATAGAGGACTCTTCAATCCAGTACATTGCATATAATGTTTGTTCCTACTGTTTCTAGCTGTTCAGTCATATTAAGACTGCTAAACTATTATATTTTGTTGATATTACACTTTGATGCATGCAATTGCTGTAGTTAGGACAGGAATAATAGTGGAGGGGGAGAGGGTAGTGGATAATGACCACACTATTTAGCAGTATAGGCCAGGTGCTATAGGAATGAGAGAAACCCTTGCTGACGTGACCAAGATATGGTAGTCAGTGTTGGCTTCTGACGTGTCACCATTACACTTTAGCATTAACACCCTGCAGCACAGTCTGGTGTATTTTACTCTGCTCGTCAGCCTTTCTACTCACAATGCTTTCCAACCACAAATCCTATATGTGTACATCTTTAAAAATGAAAGCTGAGCTCTCCCAAGAAGAGAGAAGCTATGGTTCAGCCTGGGTTGAGCCTGCCCCACTAGTGGGGTTCCCCTGACTGCCACTGTCAAAACTAAGGCCACTTCTGAATGAGAGCATCCATGGAAGTTTAAGGTGCTGTAACTTATGTGCATTCACTTCACATCTTTATAGTGACACCATGTAGACAAATACTTAATAAGGGAAACCAAGGAGGGAAAAGCTTCTGTTAATTCATTTAGCTTTAACTGGTTTTCCATGACACCTACACAAATGGGGTGCGGAGGGGGGCTACAGATATTTAGATGCACGTACCTTTGATGGCAAAGAAGCAATGTTAGCCACAGAATAGTATCAGAATTGTCAAACTATGAATAATGATTCATTTAACATCTGTTAGCATTCTAGTTTGTGGTCCATGTTAAGAAAATGTGGTTTAACTAGTAGGGTAAATAAATGAATTAGCTATCCTGTTGTAAAAACATAGTAGAGACATAAGGCACTTTAGTTTCTCCAAAAGACACAGTAGATGAGATCTGAACTATGCCTACTATCCAACCAATGCTCAGGAGTAACTGGATAATTCATTTTAAAAATATCCTTGATTTTGGCAGTACAGAATGGTAAATGTGTCAATGAAGGACATTACTGAAATGTATTATAATAATATGTAGTACAGGTAAAAGGTTATGAAATTAAAATACGCCATTAAAAGTATAAACTCAGTAGAAAAATAAACATGTATGCATACAACCCGTGAAGTAATAAAGTGTACACTTCAGTGTGTACAAGATGGGGAAGTCTTCCATTAGAAAGGAAGTGGGTATCATGGTACTGGAAATTTAAAATGATACTGAATGTTATAGGAATGTACAACTGTTTTAGGTATATGGATTATTTGGGCGAGGTTAGAGCAGAAGTATGAATCTGGTGCTGGTGTGAGCCTATAGCATGTAAAGTAATAGTAAAAAGAACAGGCGTATTTGTGGCACCTTAGAGACTAACAAATTTATTTTAGCATAAGCTTTCGTGGGCTACAGCCCACTTCTTCAGATGCATCTGAAATCTCTTAAGGTGCCACAAGTACTGTTCTTTTTGCAGATACTGACTAACACGGCTGCTACTTTGAAATCTAAAGTAACAGTGAAATTTTGCCTTGGAGAAGGATTTCATACAAGATAAAATAATGCCCACCCTGTGGTTACCGTCCTGCCCGTAGGCCCCTCGCCTTCCCCTGCCTCCTCCAGCTGTTTAACTCCCAGTGCTCAATCACTTTCCCCCTCGACAGATTCTGCGCGTCGCTCCCCTCCGTTTAGCCCCCGCCCCGAGCAGCAGCAAAGACCCTCATTAGGACTGAGGCCCGGCTTCCCCAGTATCACGCATGCTCAGTAACAGCCGCGAGACAGACAAAGTGCGTCAGGCGGCTGAGCGCGGCCCCAATGTGAGCTCAGACCGGCCCTGCGCTTCACACCGCTCTGGGCGCCGACATCTCGCTGAGTGTTGGGACGACGCACAGGGCAGGGACCCGTGGGCAGCGGCCAGTCCCGCTTCCTACTGGGGAAGTCCCAGGGACGGCCAGCCCGCCGTCTAACGCGAAACTTCCTGGGGGCGGGGCTGTATTCACGACAGCTAAGGGCTGCGGAATTTAGTTGCTCTCCCTGCCTCAACTGCGCATCTTTGCGGCAGTTCCAGACCCGGCCGTAAAGCCGCGCGGGTCGCAGACGTAGCGCGCGCGCCAAACTCGTCCCGCGAAACGAATCCGCTAGTCGCGCGGCGCTACCGAGGCGCCAGCGGCGGGATGGGGCTGCTGGAGCAGTGCGAGGCGGCGTTCGGCGCCGCCGACCTCTATCAAGTGCTGGGCGTCAGACGGGAGGCCTCGGGGGATGAGATCCGCCGCGGCTACCACAGGGTCTCGCTGCGGGTCCATCCGGACCGCGCGGCCCCAGACCGCAAGGAGGAGGCGACCCGGCACTTCCAGGTGAGCTCGCGGTGGTGAAGGGAAGAGAGACGCCCCCCGGGCCGAGCACCCCTGCCGCCTCCCCAGGAGTGGGCACCGCTATTGGCCCCTGTTATGCTGATAGCCGCTTTGTGTAAGTGCCCCGGCCCAGGCGGAGCTCGGGCTCAGCGCCTGTGGAGCTGCAGGGCCACAGCTGCTTGTGAGCAGCGTCTTGAATCCCCCGCAGCGAAGGCTGCGTCCCGTGGCTGTCCAGTGGGAGGGGGCGGGCCGCTGCACGGAGACTCGCTGCAGAGGGTGACGGTTGTTTCCTCAGTTCCTAGGCAAGGTGTATGCGGTACTGAGTGACCAGGACCAGCGGGCGCTGTATGACGAGCAGGGGATTGTAGATGAGGAGTCAGACGTTCTGAGCCAGGACCGCGACTGGGAGGAATACTGGAGACTGCTCTTCAAGAAGGTAGGGGCTGTTGCAGTGAAGGGCTAATGATCCAGGGGAATCCTTAGCTCTGCTACTGAGTGAGTCCCACATCTAGTGCTCCTGGAAGGGAGGATGTGTCCGGAATTGCTAGATAATGATCTCTACATCTGGTGCATGCTCTAAAAGTGCTGTGGCCCTGGTTAAGGGGAACTTGTTTTCTTTCCAGCTATCTATCATATCTGCCTTAGTGTTGTACTGTCCTAGGCAGTTGCTAATTCTGTTGCTCTACCATTCTCTCACTAGAAGGGAAAACCTATAATGGCAGCAGGCCGTAAAAGAGACCCAGTTTGGGAATATTTTAATGAAGTTCCTCTACCTGTGGGTAAGACAGGCATGCGTGCAAAATGCAAACAGTGCAACAAAGAAATGCAAGGCTTGGTTGCACGAATGAAACAACATCATGAGAAGTGTTCCTTCTCAGGAGGAGGTTACATTGAAGATGATGAAAGGAACATGTCTGACCATGCAGGATCTTCAGGTTGGTAAACTTTTTAAATTCATACTTCTTTCTTACAGACTGCCTGTCTTCCTTCTGGACTATTCTTGAATTCTTACG